GGGACACTGACGCCGGCGTCGACAAAAGTGGACGGAGACTGTCTTCGAGGTGGAAAACCGTAACCCGTTGAGTATGCTCCATCTTTCTAAGCAAGCCACAGCCAACTGCAACTGACGCGACATGGACGCTGCCGTGGCAGAGCTGCTCCAAATGAGGATGTCGTCAACAAAATGCGAGCGACCAATCGCCTGGGAAAGACTATCCCCGACATTATTTATCACGACAGCAAACAACGCAACACTTAGGACGCTGCCCTGGGGCATGCCGTTTTCTTAGGTGAATCTCTTCAAGCATATTGAACCAACACAGACTCGGAAGAAACGGTCAGCAAGAAAGTTTGCAACAAAGGTGCTCATAGCCCCGCGTATGCCATACTGGAACGGATTCCGTAAGATGCCATATCGCCAGGCGGTGTCGTAAGCCCTTTCGATGTCGAAGAACACAACTCCTACGTGCCGCCTTCCTTAAAACAAATGCGCACAGTTCAGTCCAAGGCTCAAAGATTATCAATGATGCTACGGTTTTTCCTGAAACCACACTGGGCGTTCCAGAAGATATTGTTGCTTTCTAAATACCAAGATAATCGTGTCAGAACCACCCGCTCCAGACGTTTGCACATAGAGGTCAGCGCAATTGGGCGGTAGTCCGACGAATCCGTCACATTCTTACCAGGCCTTAGCAGCGGAACTATAAGCGACTCTCGCCAAGACGTTGAGAACCCTCCTGTCTCCCACAACTAATTGAATGCCACCAATATAGCTTGTGTTGCTGTTGGTGGAAGTCGCCGGAGCATATCATTTTGCAGGAAATCCGGGTCTTCCGCCGCGCTGCGCCGGAGAGTTAATGGCAGACATCAGTTTAAGCATGGTGACAGGTTTGTTATATGAAAGCTCTTCGGCTGTGTGCAGGTTTATCTGAGCTGCTTCGCAACGAGCACGATGGCGCATGAAATCGGGAGCGGCAGATGTTGGCCCACGACACTCCGCAAACGCAGGAGCCATTTCATTCGCCACAATACGTGGGCCCAGTATGTCCTGACCATTCATACGAAGCACGGGGTGCGGCACTGACGAGTGTTGGCCTGCTTTACGTTTCACCCGCGCCCAAAGCACCGAAGCCGGCGTTTGGCAATTAAGCTTGCCCACATACAAACGCCAAGACGTGCGCTTGGCCTCCAAAATAGTACGTCGGGCTGCCGCTCGTGCTCGTCGAAAAGCGATTAAGTTGTCCGTAGTGCTGCGCCGATCAAAGTCTCGCGGGGCTTTTTTACGCGCACGTGTAACGTCTCGGCACTGGTCCGTCCACCACGGAACAGGGTACGACGTGGGGCACCGGATGTACGTGGTACGCTTTCTTCTGCCGATCGCAAGATTGTGGAGGTAAACTCCTATATCGATGTAGGCATATCCACTGAAACGGAAGCCAAGCTGGTTTCCACCCGTGCCTGAAATTCATCCCGTCAGCCTTTCTAAGATTCCACCGTTGTGGCCTGGAACCGAGAGCTGCTCCGTTCTGGTAACGCAACCAGATGGGACAGTGATCACTACCAAAAAAGTCGTTTTCAACGGACCTTGTCAGGTGTACCACCAGTTGGGTGTTTGAAAAACTCGAGTCAAGCGCCGATGTCTGACCTGACGGCAGCATTATGTGAGTTCGGATCCCGGTGTTTAAAAGACAGAGAGATCCATCATGTAAAAAAGTTTCGCAATGACTGCCGCGAGTGCTGGTCTGAACGCAACCCCAAGATGTGTGGCGAGCACAAAAGTCACCCAGCAAAATAAGAGGCGGGGTAAGCTCGAACATCAGAAGTCTCATTTCTGCCGTCGGAAATGGAGTACCAGGAGGTAAGTAAAGCGAGCAGACGGTTATCGCCCGACGCCCGAAAAGTACCTTAGATGCAACAGCTTGCAGGTCAAAGTGTAAGACGACGCGTTGGATCGAGGCACTGTAGTGCACAGTCAAAAGAACTCCGCCGTGTGCAATTGAATCAGCTGGCATATCCCGACGCATTACGGTGTCGCTCGGAATACTAAACTGAGAGCCAGGTGCCAGTTTGGTCTCCTGCAGGCAGGCGATGGCAAGACAGCGCCGATTCTGAAATCGTGTAGACTAGTTCGCACGCCCCTGCAGTCCACTGTAAGATACCCGTCGTAGAGCTATGAAGTGAGGGTAGCCACTACGCACCTAGCTCACCAGCACAGCACGCAGAATATCACGATCAATTCGCCTGTAAGGGGGCGTACTAAAAAAGCGGTCAAAGTCACACTTAAAGACGCGACACGGTTCAAAAGAACTGGGCTGCGCCTGTTGCAGGACCGAACACCTCAGTCTGAGAATTACGGCTCGATTCCGTAGGGCTGTGCCCCACTCTGGGCCTAATCCTTGGGCTTCCTCCGTCAGATAGAGACGGAGGACCGGGTGAGGGGCGCTTAATGCCAGCGTGCCCAATCCTGGGTGGCGGAGGGAAAGGACCCATGGATGGGCCCCGCCAGACATCTGAGGACCAGCGGGGGGCTCCACAGGTCTTTTGGGCAATAGAGTGCTGCTGCGGGGGGACGGACTTCTTGTCCGCCCCGGACATACGGTTCGCCGTCTTTGCCCTTTCTCGTTCGGCCAAGCGCACCCGCTTGGCCTCGCAGGCGCACCTGTCAGCTTCCTGACGCTCCATCGTCCCTGCTACACGCTCACAGGCACTGGCGAGGAGCGTCTGCGATATGGAGACCGGTGGAGTCTCAGACGAAGGAATGCCCGACGACGCGCAAGGACTGCAGCCACGCCGAACCGTCGTCCAACCATCATTCGCTGGCGATCCAACCGGTGCCGGGGAGGCCGGCGGCACGGCGGCCACCGACTGCTCGGTTGGTGGGGAGGGAACTTGGGGCTGGCTGCGAGTCCAGCGCGCGTCCTGCGGGTACAACTGATAGGCCAAATGACCTCAGAAGTTCCAGAAACTGAGCAGCCGTCATTTCCTCAATCACATTAGTGCGCGGCAACGAAGCTTTCACTTTCGATGCATGCGTTATTTTCGGGCGGGTTTTGTTATAAAGTTCTCGAGCGTCATGGAAAGAAACGCTTCTAGAAGTTCTACTTGATATGATTTCCTTTTCCTTGGCGTAGGCTGGGCATGCACGGTCGTACAACGTATGCGGAACCTGATCCTTGCCGCAGTTGACACAGTGGGATTTGTCAGAAGTACAGACTTCGCTCATGTGCTTGGGAGACACACATTTGCCACACGCTGCGCTGTTCCGACAATTGGGTTTGGTATAACCAAATCGCTGGCACTGGTAGCACGGCATGGGGTTGGGCACAAACTGACAAACTATCACGCGGACGTATCCCACACGCATCTCGGATGGTAAGTCAAGGCGACTGAACGTGAATATGAGGTTGTTGGTGGGCACCAACTCTCCTCCCGTTCTGACAAGGATCCGCCGAGCGGCGGTCACTCCAAACTCCGACAACTCCTCCACGATCTCCTCGTCGTCAACGTCACGCGGATCAAAACAGTTGACCACGCCCCTGGGAGAATTTGTTGTGTTGTGTAGTGTCGCTGACATTGACCCTGCTTTTTCCCGCTTATTAGCCCCATCTCGAACACTGTACAAAAATTCAGTTGCTTCCATAGCCCGACTCGCCTCCAAGCCACTAGCAAATTCAACTGATATTTTTCCATCCCGGAGCTTGTCACATCTGATAATTTTTCCAAATCTGTCGCAGCCAGCTCGTCTCTGAAGCGGTGACAGGGACGCCAACCTGATCTCATCAGTTTCGAAGACGAGGATCCGTGGACCGGGGGGTAACATAGTTTTTTCTGCACCGTTAGGTTATCGTGGTCCGATTCCCTTTCGGAGGGCGAATGTTTTTAGAGTTAGAGGATGTCATATGAAGTAGGTTTTCTTTCGGCACCGGGGCTCCCCACCCATCACGGAGCTCAACTGGGGGACGGCCTAATACTCCCTGGGGGGGGGGGGGGGGGGGGGGGATCACCGCCAGTGCTACCTCGGTGCTATAGGGGCGAACGACGCCTCGCACACGGCCAGGTGTAACCGTCGAGACCCCTCCCCATCCTCACCGTGGTTCAGCGCCGCTGCCCCTTTACCCCGTAAGCCTCTCCTCACGGCCAGGCACCTCGAGCGGAGACCCACACGGAGCACTCAGCCGCAGCGCGAGCGACAAGCCGCTGGACCCGTGTGGGGCCCCACGGACCCCACGCCCCCGGATATCCTGGCCAAAGTGGAGTTTTGGGACGCGCCGTGACTGGCACGCATGACGCTCCCCTCAGCCACCTGGATCCGATCAACCCGGGTACGCAGGCGAGGGGGCACGGTGACCCCGATCAAACGAGGATTAGGAGTGATGAGTGGACCGGATGCAGGAAAGCGGGTAGTGGGAAGAAAGCGGGCGGGACCAGGAGCGGGAGCTCACGTACCGGCACGATCGCTACGCCCTGAAAGAAACAGTTTGCGCTGTCCACCTGTTACCGGAGCTGGGGCGCAAGGGGGCTCTAGTCCCCTTCACCGGCGGAAGCCAGTGCCCCTGCGGGGACATCTCGAGACTAGTATCCCATTCTTTGCACCACCCGGATGACAATATCTTTCCCAAGGCCCTACAGTCCAGGACATATCAATATCGTACTCAGTCGGTAGGTTACACTCTTCTGTAACTTACGTGCAAGAGTTTCTCCACGCACGTTTCCTAACCACTTCCACCACGCTCCCCACTGACCACCAACCGACCGACCTTACCGCGTCCTAGGAGGGGTTTGACGAACGTGTTGCCGAAATATCATCCAGTCTACATCGCTATTGTCCTAGTTTTTCTCCGAGGAATAACACTTACTATTGTGTCATCTAAAGCCGACCATAACAATAACCAATGACTTCACTGGACAATTCCGTTCGGGCAGCACTTATCGCCATCCGACGTCCAATGTCTACTAAAGATGGCGCGCGAGGCGAAATCCGGTAGAGCCAAGGACCGTGAGCAATGGTTGGGGGGGTTGTCGAGTGTGGTATTATGTGCCCTGGGGGAATGGGGTGTAGGTGGGTGTGGTATTGCGGGCGTTGCCGTTTTGTGGTGTCATTTTGACACTAATTTCAACTTGCCTTAAACAGCGTGTATAGGGAATATGCAATGCAGGTCCATCAATATATTATGGTTCATGGTATACATTGCTACCTAGTTCCATAGGTTTTCTTTTCATACCAGAAATATGTTTTTTCAACCTTGGCAGAGCCCATTTGTTCCCTTAAATCTACCCTTGATGATTATATATCTTCACTTAGTGAAGATTGGTGGTATGTATTGAGTGATTGGATGTAGCGATTTTTGACTTAAAGTCTAGGGTCAATGACCTGGAACAGTTCAGAAGTTAGAATCAAGAAACTGCAGCAATGTCAGCATGTGTTGTTTTGCTAAGGCTCTGCCCCCTGCCCCTCCTCCCAAATGTTGGTTTCAGCCCTGTTATGTTTTTGTGAGAAAATGACAAGAAAAAAATTGAATATTATGAATACTCTTGTTTGGGTATTGTTTTATAGTTATAACTACAATAGTCCTCAAAGAAAGGGCCATTTGATATAAGATAATAAAATAAAGCTCATAAATTACCATTATTTATCATAAACCATGCTAAGTCTATGCAATAACACATTCAGGAATAGCTGGTTGAGCTTGTAGCTCATGCCCTCCAAGCATGCGTAGCAGTTGATATCCCTTGAAGTATATGTGAGGCACTTAGCAGTGTGCAGCCCTGCCATAACTATTGCTGGTTCTGGCCTCATGCACCAAGCAGGTTCATGGTCTGACACTGTGGGATCAACCAAAGCTGGCAGGAACTATTCAAAATAGTGTATACACCAGCCTGTAACTGAATCTGCAAATTTTGATCAGTGTTCCAAAATGTTGAAATGCCTGCTGCAGATATACATGCATATATAACACTTTTGGGGAATATTTTATCAGCAATGACTTCTATATGAGGATGGAAGACCCATTTGACTGCTCTAACACAACAGTACAGGATGTAATTGGAAATATTGGAAATAAAATGCTGGATAGGCATAGCATATGCACAATTTTCTTGCACAATGCATCAATTTACTTATGAGAGTAATACCTGATATGTTTCAAAATGCTCTGAAGTTTAGAGGAATAACAAAATTGCCTGCATACTGCATGTCTTGAAAGTCACAAAGCATAGGTGTAAATTTGCTTTTGTAATCTTGCTTGCTTATCTAAAGTCTAGCTTCTGACCTCTTTTCAACTTTTAAATAGCTTGGATAGTTGATAAGTGGTGAAATATCACAATATTGGGCTTATTTTGGTGTGCACAGTATATAAATTATTCACATCTTAAGCAATCAAACCACACTATATCATAGCTTGTAATATGTAGCTACATAATTAGGCTGTGAGTAATATATGGTGTGATAAGTATTATATTTTCTCTGAGCCCCATTACAGGCAGATGTGACCTAATCCGAGACAACTTTTGTGAAGATCAGCATGCCACTTGCATGGCATACTTCTCTTGAACACCAACTGCACCTGCACCAGTTGCAACCTCACCATCCATGACTTTGGTTATATGCTCACACTTGTATGCCTATGTTATGCAGTGCACACAGGAGGGTTATGTTTTAACCCATACTTCATGTTGGCAGGTTTTTTCATAACACTTGAGGCCCCGTGCGGTGACCATGAGCCGAGCATCTCGCAGGGGACTGCTGGTCGTCTGTTGCCTGGCTCTGGCTCTACTGGTGCTCTATCAGCTCAACACTGGTGGTCACTACTGCAAAACCAGTGCAGTGATAGACACCAAGGCTGAACTACTCAAAGAGGTATACAAATGTTGTAAATTATCACTGAGGTCACTAATTGTTGTTTCACAATTCAGTGTGGGTATGTTTCAATCTCAGTGTCTTTAAGTCATTTAAAAAGTGCCACGCTGTGAAGTTGTTCATGTCTCAAAGCTATCCCTGCCATACTCTGCCCTGCTCTGACTGATGTGAGTTTGCATCTGTGCTTGCAGTGTGTACACACAGCTCATGCTGCACAACCAACCTTCTCTGCCCTGCCCTGCCCTGCCCTGTCCTGTCTTGCCCTGCCCTGCCCTGCCCTGCCCTGCCCTGCCCTGCCCTGCCCTGCCCTGCCCTGCCCTGCCCTGCCCTGCCCTGCCCTGCTTTGCCCTGTTCTGCCCTGACCTTCCTGTTCTGCTGTGCTCTGCTCTGACTTGTGTGAGTTGGCATCTGTGTTTGTGCCAGGTGCACACAACTGGCAGTGCACCACCGACCGACCCTGAACTTTGAGTCGTTTCTGTGTGAAATGTAGCCACCTCACGACATCCGCCTATGGCATGACGTAAGTTGACCTGGGTGTCCTTGTCTGACCAGTGGCCTTAGCTGCAGATGTCCGGGGCGCCGGTGGACCGCAACATGCCGCTGATCTTCATTGGCGGCGTGCCGCGCTCGGGTACCACGCTGGCGCGCGCCATGCTGGACGCCCACCCGCTGGTGCGCTGCGGCGAAGAGACCCGCGTCATCCCGCGCATCCTCAGCCTGCGCTCGCACTGGAAAAAGTCGGCCAAGGAGACGTTGCGACTCTCCGAGGCCGGGCTCAACGATGACGTACGTGCAGCGCCCGCCTGCGGCGCACGGCCGGGCAGAGCGAGCCGTGGCCTGGGTGCGGCTTAGTGAAAAACGTGGCCGATGGTGGCGTTCAAGCTCCGTCAGGGAACAGCCATTTCCACCCAATACGTATGTGCGTTTGGTGGTCCCGACGTAGCCATTCGCGGTATCGCCGGAGGACGGCACGATGATGACACATATGTCGGGGCCTGCCCCAGAAACCATCGCTGGCTGCTGCAGAGAATGAACCGCAAGCTGATCAGCTGTTGACAGCCACGATCTGTACCTCGAAGGTGGTTGAAAGAAGAGCTATTCGTTTTTACCGTTTCCAACGGACTGTGGCCGGAGCCGAGAGACCGTCATGAGTGGGGACCCCCCCCCCCCCCCCCAGGTGGTGCCGTCCTTGTCCGCCCCGCTGACGTCGACCTCTGCCGCGTCAGGTGCTGGACTCGGCCATCTCGGCCTTCATCCTGGAGGTGGTGGTGCGACACGGCGAGCCGGCCCAGCGGCTCTGCAACAAGGACCCGTTCACCATCAAGTCGGCCACCTACCTGCACCAGCTGTTCCCGCGCGCCAAATTCGTCTTCATGGTGCGGGACGGACGCGCCACTGTACACTCCATCGTCTCAAGAAAGGTGGGCAGCGCCGCGGAGTTCGGAGGAGCGGCGCACTTTATGCTGGGGCGTCGGATCCTGGCGTGTCGCTGGCTGGCGAGTGTCGGCTGTTTCTTCTCCCTTTTGCTGTGTTATATGCTGCTGGCTCTTCACAGGTTGTTGACTGGAGCTGCTTGTTGTTAGTGATAACCTGGTTACTTCTTGCAAGTATGCTATTTTTTACAAGATTTGATCAGGATCTTTTAAATGAATGGATTTCTGGAACCAGAGTCCACACTAAGCAGTTGTTTATTTTGTGGGCTCCCCTTATTATCCCTCCCAACTGATTGCGTAAATCCAGGTCTAAGGGAGATTTCACTGGTATTTCATGTGATTGCTGTTGGAGGCGGATAGAAATGCGGCCGTTGCCTGGCTTTCTACGGCCACGTCTGCACCGTTTCATGTTCACGCATCCACACAACCCTTGCCCGACTGTACGCTGCGGAGACCCACACCCACCACTTGCCCGGCTGGATGCTGCGGAGACTGGCCCGGGTCCCAGCGCACGATCGTTCCGACAGCGACAGCGCGCTTCCCCCGCAGGTCACCATCACGGGCTTCGACCTGACCAGCCCGCGTCAGTGTCTGCGCCGCTGGAACACCGTGGTCGACACCATGGACCGCCAGTGCCAGGAGCTGGGGCGGCGCTGGTGCATGCGCGTGCCGTACGAGCAGCTGGTGCTGGAGCCGCGCCGCTGGATGGAGCGCCTGCTCCACTTCCTGGAGGTGCCCTGGAACGACACGGTGCTGCACCACGAGCGCACCATCAACAAGCCGGGCGGCGTGTCGCTGTCGAAGTAAGCAGCTGGCGCGGCAGGGTTTGTGGATGGTGGGAGGGAGGGGAGGGGTCCGACCGGCACGAAAAGGTCGACTCATCCAGGCCAGTCGTTCATGTAGATGACCTTTTGTTTAGTGTGTTATGCCATTGCTTGTTTGTTATTTTGCACCAGTCATGGTTTTCAAATAGTGACTTAGATGGCTTATGGTATGCTCAGAAGTGAGTTCACATGAGAACAGTTCATGTCTGCAGTTGCTGCATGTGATTAGCATTCTAGTGAACCTCTGATTTTCGGATGGCCAGTGTGACGCCTCTCCATGAGGAGCCGAAGCACGCCGCTCCCGCTTGTTCTGGACCTTACCTGACTGTTGTCCGCCAGGGACGGGGAGTCAACGCCGCTAGCGCCAAGACCAGTCAGTTGTCCCCACCTGCTCTGATCGCTATTGTCGCGCTGACGTGTAGAGTAGAAGTCTGCATCTGCCCCGGCCTTAGCCGTGGGCTCCGCCAGGGAACTTCGTGACATATGTCCCCTGCTATTCTGACTTGCCAGGGCGAGTAGCTGTTTTCGCTGCGCTGAGCCTTGACACATCCCTGGAGAGTCAGGCCTTTGATACCCGTGCCATCCACTAAAACATTCACTCACAGTGGGAGGAAGTCCTCTCCACTGTTCCTGACCATACCATGGCTCCCCTTCCCCCTCCCCAGCTGCCTTTTCTGACCTGACCTCTGAATGCGTCGGTCCCCAGCGTCCACCCTAGTATGTGATGGTCTCTGGCGTCCTCCCCAGTGTGTGTCGGTCCCTGCCGCCCTCCCCAGTGCGTGTCGGTCCTGGCTTCCTCCCCGGTGTGCGTCGTTTCCGCCGACCTCCCCAGTGTGTGTCCGTCCCACCGTCCGCCCCAATGTACGTCCGTCCCGGCGCGCGCCCCTGTGTGCGTCGGTGCTGGCGCCTTCCCTGACCACGGCGGCGCCGCCCCCGGCAGGGTGGAGAAGTCCTCCGACCAGGTGGTGCGTCCCGTCAACACGGACGCGCTCACCAAGTGGGTGGACGAGTTCCCGGAGGACGTCGTGCGCGACATGGCCGAGCTGGCGCCCATGCTGGAGGCGCTCGGCTATGACCCGAACGCCAATCCGCCCGACTACCGCCGGCTGCACCTGGATGACGACGCGCAGGAGGCGGAGGTGAGCGGACCCGGCAGGTACCGACGCGCGCCGCGCGGCTCGCGCTTGGCTCGCCGCCGCCGGGCCAGGCTGGTTAGTGACTTTACCAAATGTGGCTTGTGCTCTGGTGGCACGAAAGTGGAGATTGCGGCCCCAAACAGCGGCCGCAGGCGAGCGGGGCCTCGCAGCGCTGTGAAGGCGCGCGCAAGAAAGTCTCAAACCCGCGTGCTGTCCTGGATTCGGTGCGCAGGATAGGCTGGCGAGATGTCGATCAGTGTATGTCAAGTGCGTTTTTTACATTATGGAGGCGAATATACGATGCCAGATGGTTTCATACGTAGTACAAACGGGCGGGGTGTGGATGTTTCGCGCCACGGTCGCCAACAATGTGCTGTGGATTTCGCGTATGATTTACATTCATACGTGTTTGCATATTCATTCACATGAACACAAGATATACGTTTAGGTGGGCCGAATCCCGTAGGGTGACCTCAGTAGTAATATTTGTTTTCCAAACAGTCCTCCGTATCGCCATCGTGGCGTATCGAGCGTGCTTCACGGGTGATTCCGTGTCTGGACCCTGCTTCGCGGGTGGCCGTGTCTCGGCCTGGCTTCGCTGGTGGTTTTGTGTGAGGGCCCGGCTTCGCTGGCGCCTCTGTGCCTCGGCTGGTTGGCCACAGCAGGGGCGAGCGCTCCGCGTCGATCTCCAGCCGGACTCTCCCCGAATTCGTTCACTGACGGCCGGCTGTCTGCAGGGCAGCTGATCCCGCTGCCGTCAGCTGACCCCGCCGCTGCCAGCTGACCCCTCCGCTGCCAGCTGACCCCGCCGCTGTCAGCTGACCCCGCCGCTGTCAGCTGACCCCGCCGCTGCCAGCTGACCCCGCCGCTGCCAGCTGACGCCGGCTGCCGTCCCGCGGCTCCGGACCGCAGCGCTCCAGCCTCCGCTCCGGCCAGTCTGAGCCGGCTGTGGACCGCTAGGAGCCGCCGCCGTGGCCCGGACGGGTCAGCGACGGAGCCGTCCGAGCGGCGAGGCCACGGGAAGTGACTGGTCGTGTCGTTAGCAGCGCGAGTGGACATCCTGGAGGCGTGGCTGAGCTGCCTCCGGCCTCCGCTCTGTCGTCGTGGCGCGCCGTGGCATGGAGCGAGACATTGGATTCGCTGAGTGGGATATGTGTACCGGATTGTTGTTCGTTGACTTGATATTACTCCGCCTACTGAAATCAAAAAATGGGTATTTCTATTATTGAAGCGGGTTTTTCGATGAGATTACTGTGCTTGCTCGAACCAAAAATGGCGGTTCTCTTGTTTGAACGCAAGGTTTGCCGTGGTTTGATTCTTGTACTTTAATCGAGATAGGTCGATTTTTTTTGGAAGGTTGGGAATGACTGATTTATCCAATGGGGCTGTGCGATACGCCTGGCAACAGCAGTCTGTTCTTGATGTTGGCTCCAGCCGGCTGTCGTTGGGGCTGCAGAGACCAGTTTGCAGAGCCAGATGCGCTGATTGCATGTTTACTGGGTTTCTAAAATGTCAGGTATGACTTCGTGAAGTAATGCTTTAGTATGACACCTTTTGGGATGTTGGATTTTTCCTGCATCTCACAAGCTGACTAATTATGCCCCGGACTAGCTCTGTTCGCCTTGACGGGAACAAACCAAGCTAGGCTTTTCAACAGCAATGGCTTTTGAGGCACTAATTTTGCGGTGCTGAGGCATTAAAGGGTAACAAATTATCACAAAGGTGTTCAGTGACTGTTCTAGAATTTATGCCCCATTTTTACCATGAATGTAAATGGCTACAGCATGTTTGCTGTACCGTGATAGGATGATATCCGCTGGTAGTGGCCTTACGCCGAGTGTCCCTGAATGGGGGAGGGGGGGGGGGGGGGGAGGAGGGAGCGTCGAACCTGCCGCGGTCGGCAGCGGTGTCTGGCCGTTACGCCGACTTGTGGCCGCCCTTGGAGAGGCCCCGCCGGGCCTGGCGGGCGCCATGTGACGGATGCAGCTGGTGTTTGGTGCTGTGATGCTCGCGCAGTGGGCCGCGGCGGAACCCGACCCGACCCAAAGTCGTGCCAGACCGGCCTGGCCGCCGTCGGCCAGCCGACCGCGAGCCGTTCGGCCGCCGGCCCTCTCCATGTCGTCACTGCCAGAGGCGAGATACGCCGTCTGGCGCCGCTCGCTCAGTGCTGTCACCTGCTGTGAGGCCCGCCACTTGCGCCGGCCGTCGGTGGGCACGGTGTAATGCAGCGCCGAGGCGGCCAGGCGGCGTTCGTCGGCGCCGTTCGCGAGGGGGTGCGTTCGGTGTGTCTCAAACGCGTATGATGCACGCTGACGGCTTGCAGACTGTATGAGACCCGGGCTCCGCTATGTAGTAGATATATATTGTTAGCTGGTCAGCCATACGCAAGCCGTGTGTACAAACCGCGGAAGCTGCGAATTGGAAAAGGGTCTGCATGGGAACATGTATTTCATATGAATCAGCGTGGTATTGAAAGTCGTTTTCCAGCCTTTTACAAAGCAGATACTGGGTCAGGTCGTGGAGTACCTGGCCCAGATGACTGTTCGCGCCTGCGCGTGTCGCTTCTCAGTAGGCGTGGGCCTTTATCGCACGTTGATCAGCTGACGTTCACTTGGAATGTTTTTATACGCGTTAGTGGAATGACGTCTGCGCGACGCCTTTTTGTACTTTTGTTACGTTGATAATTTTGCGGCTAGTGATAGTAAGGCGTAAGCTTGCATCGAATACACCGCAAACGACGAATGTTGTGTTTTGAAAGAACGTAAAGGAACGACAACCATTCTTGTGTGGCTCTTGTTACACGGTGGCAAGTTCTCATATTCCCATAGACTTGGTACAATGTTTGCTGAAACGCGCTGGACGGAATGGTGTTTGGTTTCACGATGGGTGTATTTTTGTGTCGGCGGAAGTGGCTGATGAAATATAGGCCACGTGATATCGGAAAACTGTTTATTCTTATAGAGCAAAACGTACACGTAGACAGCAAGCATGAGTGACAACGTGGCACCGACGCCGGTCATACAACTTGACCCGGGGTCACCTCGCCCCCCTCCCCCTCAAGGTCAGAATATCGAGAATTCGTATCACCTAGTGGACCGAAGCTACCAGGGGCCCAGATACAGACCATTTTTGGAGAGAAACTGTGGTGTTACTTTGAGACATTTGATGTATTCTTTTGCTAAGTTTAAGTAATGGATACTGGCTAATTTAGCATTGGAGAGAATTCAACCTGTTTTGTTATGGACATGTGTTAAGAATCTCAATGGCATAGAATGGTATGCTCTATCCCCGCCCCAGGCAGCTCATATTCAAACAACACATCGTATATTTATAACGACAATAGAGGACATTGGCCACGTTATAAATCTAAACTACTTAATATATCTATACTTAGATTGCACATAGCCATGTTCGGAGACGGCGAACAATGAAGGTTACAGTACATGCGCATATATAGCATGAACGCATTACGAGCAACGTCAGTGAAGCCCTCGCACCTCCCTTCGCTGCTGACCTCTCTCCGCACTTACCGTGTGATCGGTAGTGCTCTCACTTCCGTACATAACTGTAGACACTAGCGTGCGGGGGTATGATAAAGACCAGGTTAACCGTTACCGTGAGTGACCCACTGGAAGGCGTTCCCTGCCCTAGACGGCACTGAAGAAGGACGCCCTCTGCCGCTGGAAGTGGCCAGTCAGCGCAGCACCGAACCCCGGTCCAGCACCGAACCCCGGTCCAGCAACGAACCCCGGTCCAGCACCGAATCCGAGCCTGGCTCGCTCGTCAGCGGCTGCCAGTGATGTGGGCAAGATGTGCGCGGGATAGGGGGTTAGATCATGAAAAAGAGATCAGGATGTGCGGACCGGGGGCGAAGCGTCCCTGGACAGCCCGCCAAATGTGAGGTCTCATCGCCGGCAGACCGTCGTACCGCATCGGCGGACTAGGCAACGTAACAGGCTCTCCTGAGTGAACAGCTCATAGATAAGCTGTGTTTAAATACATTTTCACGCTAGCGTGTTCCGGACCTTCGACATTTTGAAATATACGCATACAAGTTTGGTTGAGTTTGTTTGCAATCCTGTGCCATGTTGCGTTGTGCTGTCCGTATTTCGGTGATATTGTGCTGTTCCAATATCTACCCGAATACGTCTATACGACGGGATGAGGAAACGTCATGCCATCAGGTGTTACGGCAACGCGGTGAGTATTTATCCACGACGAAGACAATACCATACAAAAGTGGCGAGTAGATGAGATGGTCTGTTGCCTAGCCAACGACGAAAAACGTCGACAAATTGAAGGCACAGCTATAAATGAAAGTTCTCGTTAGCGCCACACTGGAATGGATCATCAATAAGGTTAGAAAGAAAATTGCCTGAGACAAAGCTCCAGTCAGAAATCTGCGGCGGTATTGTAACTCGTGGACCATTCTGAGACCCAGGTGCTGGGAGGACCAATCAAGGGCGGACACAGACCGAGGGACAACCGGATCATGCACTTCTCCAAGATGGCCAAAATTGGGGCAAAAAATGCCACATTCTTAACGCTGAAGAAAATGTGAGCAACTTTCACCAAGGGAAGATTGCTTTAGAACAGTTCTCGAGATAAAGAGAAAGCGATACCGACAGCTGTTGAAAATCAGGACACTCTTGGACTTCGCAGGTCCCAAGCCGGCGTCACCTCCCTCCCAAGCCGACGTCGCCTCCCTCCCAAGGCGGCGTCGCCTCCCTCCCAAGGCGGCGTCGCCTCCCTCCCAAGGCGGCGTCGCCTCCCTCCCAAGGCGGCGTCGCCTCCCTCCCAAGCCGGCGTCGCCTCCCTCCCAAGGCGGCGTCGCCTCCCTCCCAAGCCGGCGTTTTGGGTCCGCCCTGGACACTACTCACTATGAAATGGCTTCGATCACTCCACCTGGACCTGTCCGAAAGGGATTTCATGGCTGGAGATGCGTGATGCGCAATGCAATTCAAAGGCTGAACTCTGGCGTGTCACGGCACGCGCCCCTTTCGGCAAGTGGGCTGGAGGTCTCGGGAGTCAAAAATGATCGAAGCTGGTCTCAAGTGCGTCTTCTGGGCTTCACTCAACTTTCATACACCACTCGACAGGCAGCGCCCCAGAGGGCGCCACGGGGCGTGCTGGGCCTGGCACGCGGTGGTGCAGCTGGCTGGTGGTGCTGAGCACCGCCCGACCTCCTCCGGCCACCTTACTGCTACTGTAGACACGCCAGCACCGGCTACTGCCGGAGGGAGTGGCGTGGGCTCGCGACAGGCTCGTGCTCGCCCGCCTGATCGGTACCGGCCACCAAAGGTCGACGGCAGCACCGACGTACGCGAGATGCTCCTGGAAACGACCGCCAGGCGGCGGACTGAGAAACCTAAAATCACAGATCGGGGACGCTCTCAACACGCGTGATAATCTGTTCGGGCGCCGACCACCCTGTAGGAAGTCAGATTGGACGCCTGCCCTTCCTCTCTGTTACGCACGGTCCGGTCGAGTCTCCGCACCTGCGCGACAGCTCACACCTCAACCCACACCCGTCACCGCCCACCGCACTCACGCCACTCCCACACATGCTGCACCGCTAACATCGGTCTAAACCTGTGTATATGTATACCGTATATAAGCGTATTGCTGGCGGGCGGCGAGCGCGCCGTTTACAGCGAGGACACGCGCGCACGCGCCGCCGCCCGCTCCTCCCGCGAGATGGCGTCCACGTCGGCGGCGCTGGCGCGGGACTCCGGCGGGCTGGGCGGCTCGTGGTCGGCGGTTGCGCTGCCC